TCTCTCTCTCTCTCTCTCTCTCTAGAGTATCTAGTATCTACCTTCCCAACTTCAAGAGGAGAAGCGAGTAGGTCTGCGAAATCAGCGATCACTTGATCTTTCCCCTTCCTTACAAACCCATATCAGCAATATCAGCACCATAACCAGGCCTTCATCATCTTGGAATCGTGGGAAGATCCAAATGAAACTGGATTCGTTACTTTAAGTGCCTTGGTTAGGTTTGAGTGTATGGAAGGGTGTGTATCGCTATGTAGGTAGGTATGGATGGATGGATGGGCCTTTCTTTTTGGATTTTCGTGGAGGTAGGTATAGTGAAAGGGAGAGGGGGGAGAGGGAGAGAGAGAGAGCTTCGCTGATGTCTTATGGTGGTATGGGTATGGGTATATATATATATGTATGTATATACTGGTTTATATATTGGTTTTTATGAGCTTGAGGGGCGTTTAATAGCCATGGATAAGGGGGTTTTATCGCGTGGTGATGGGCTTTGAAATTGAGAGCGATGGGCGTGATATCGTCTTCTTCTATCAAAGCCGCGTCGTTCATTCCCTGGGGATCGAGCAGATGAACTCGGGGGATGCCATCTGCTCGCTGCTCCAAGCTGATGCAGGTTGATGCTCCGAGGAGCGAGCAAGCATCCTTTTCTGCTCACCTTCACCTCCCAAGCTGTACCGTCTCGTCTCACCAATCATCCTCCCAAGCCGCCCTCCAAGGCTCCGTCTCGATCGTATACCTCGTCAAGAACTCATCGTCCAAGCCTAGGTCTTCAATGCCCACTCTCTCGACCTTCTCCTCGCCATCCTTGCCCAGCAGACCCCTCGCAAATTCCCGGGCCCAGGTCTTCCCCACGATGCCCGGCTTCAGACGGGCTCTCAGCTGAATTCCGCTCTTCGGCTGCAACGTATCCAACCACTTCCTCCTGATCCCATCTTTCCCCTCGATCCCCTCGTCAAGCTCCATCATCGCCTCTCCCCCATCATCCGCCTTCACGACCCTGCCAGCGCCACTCGCCTCCCACGCGCCCGTCTCCTCGCCCAGCTCCCGCATACTGACCACGCCCTTCCCCACAAGGCCGCACGCAACGATGCGGTCGAACCACGCGAGATCCGTAGCGATATTCAAGCCCACACCGTAGCTGGTGACGTTCCGTCTGAGATGCACCCCCAGCGCAGCAATCTTCCTCTCCCCGCCTTCCTCCCACACGCCCGGGTTCTCCGTCCGCACGCCCTTCAGCGACCAGTGTCCCAGCGTGTTGATCGTCGCCTGCTCTAGGAGATTCACGTAGCACCTCGCACTCACGCCCTTCGGCCAGCGGCCGTACGCCGGTGTACCTGCACCACCATCTGCTGCGGGAGACGGGACGGGAGAGGGCTTGAGATCCAGAATGGGGTAGATGACCAGCTGGCCCGGCCCGTGGAAGGTCGTCTGTCCCCCTCTCAACGTGGGCACCACGCTCGCCCACTCAGGATTGCGGCGTTGGTTCACGCTGGTGCTCCGGGACGGCGTGAGCGGCGCTTGCAGGATTCGCAGTTGATCTGCAGACAGGGCTGCGTGTTCGCGGCGGCCGGTGGTGAAGACGGGCGTGGGAACGAATGTCAGGATCGTGGGGACCGGTGCGGGAGGCGGGGAGGAGGATGGAGAAGGGGAGGAGAGGGCCTTCTTGTAGGTTAGGATTTGGGAAGAGAGATGCGATTGCAGGGTTTCCGCAAGGTGGAATGGCGTTATGGAGGGGAGGTGGATGTGCCGGATTATGGTAGCCGTCGCCCTGGGGCTGGGGGACATTTGGGTGAGAGCGAGAGAGAAGGAAAGAGAAAGGGAAATCCCTGGGGTGGCGGAGGGCAAACAAGAATTTTTGTTTTGTTTTCTAGGTGATGGTGGATGATAAAGCTACAGGTACTGCGATAAGTAGGCGAGGCTGTTGGTTGTGCGGCTTGGGTGAGTGGAGGTCCGCCCTAGGTTTTTTTTTCAGGGGATAGGTACGTAGGCATCAACGCTGCTTCATTATACCTCTGTCATTCGACTGCATGCAGATCGAACATCTTCAAAAGGGGGTCTCTTCATCCTCTACTTTCAAATCTTATATTTTTTACCCGGCAATAATCAAGGACAAAAGACAAAGTATCAAGCATCCCTTTGAAGCTCATCACTAAGACCTAAATCTACTTAAGATCTAGAGATTTTGTTTTCTGAATATACTATCTATTATATTATCAAACTCATTTCCTCTATTTCAATAAACTACCTAACTGTCCTGAAGAAAACCAATCAACATTAGAAATATCCGAGCTTTATAACGTGTGAACCTGCGGACATTCAAGTATGCTAGATACAGTAAGTATCGCTCTGCTTATTTCCTTAACGACCATTGTAAGTATAAGAGTGCTGATTCAAAATCCGGTGATCAGCTCGTAAAACCATAATCTTTAGAAAGCTTATGGTTTAAAGACTTTCCAGATTCGGCTTTCCTTGCTCACGTTTCCGTCCATCATCGCTGAATCAACACATCGTATTAATTTGTTTACGTCTACGGAAAGATTTAGCGAGGTTAAGCGACGGCGATCATCCCATTTTCACCCACGAACAGAATAAAGGTGCTCTGTAAGACTCGATGACTGAAATAATAATCAGCAAAGACATTTAAGATTTAAATCGCAACATTGTCCGGTTTTTCCTTGTCTAAGCTCGAATTAAACCATACAATCGATAGTCCGAAAACCCTTATAGGTTGTATATTTGCTTGCTGCAAGTATCTGATGCTGCTTCGTATGAAGAAATGAAGGGGAAAGATGTGCTATCCTTAAGTGTGTCATTTTACATCACGGGTTAAACGTATGGATGGATTGGGGCTCAGAAAGCAACAAGGGCGGACTGAAAGACAGTTGTATTTCGGATCATCTATCGATATCCCGCAGTACCCCGTTAAGTAACTGACTCCCGAAGATCAGTAGATCTGACGCGACCACCAAGCGTCGAATGCATGCAAAGAAACCCCCAGATAACCCGCCCGCAAGATGCATCATGTTCCAGCCGTCTGGCAGATCTCCTGGTTGCAGATCCCTCCCTTCCAGACACCATAGAGCCCGAAGGAGAGAAAAAAAAAAAAAGACGTTCGCTCGTAGTATTCAGTCAGATCTGTACTTGCATCGTACAATCCTCAGAAACCACCGCCTTGCTGCTCCTCGTGGACATCAATGATATCTCCATCTTTCATCCCTAAAGACGCAGGAGTAGAGCCTTCCATAAGCCGCTGGCCACCCGGCGTGAAGAATCGTAGAGAGCTTGGCTTTCGGTCCTTGCTGGCGCAGTACGTGTCGATGAGCTTTTGGAGCAAAGTTGTCGGTCTGCATTGGAATACGACTTCTTCGCCGCGGTCGTTGACCACCTTAATCGATAACTTGTGGGCTTTGGACTTTGCCACTTGCTCATCGCCTGCAGCCTGAGTCGGGGTCAACAAGTTTTTTTTGGAGGAGGGGGGGGGGGAGAATTGGATTCCTTATGATGGTGGCTAGTGTAGGATGTGAGGATTATATGAAGGGACTTACAGCATCGTCCCCTTCCTCTGCGCCACCTCCAATTTGCTCCGCAAATACTTCAATCACATGATTGTCCTCAAGTTCCAAGGATCGTGGAGTGTCGTCGTCACAAATTCGTGTGCCACCAGCAAAAAATCTTACCATATGGCTTTCAACGCCCTGTCTCTCGCAGTAAACATCCATCAGTCTCCTCAACTTCGTGGTAAGCTTCAACTTGAAAAGGAGCTTGTGAACATGCAGGCGGAAATCACCGTTGACCAGGGCGATTGTAATGATTGTCGGGATAACTGGGCCAGCAACCTCCTTTTCGGCAGTCGCCTTTAGACAAAGAGTAAGCTTATGTGTAGTTAGGCACCATCCAAAAAGAAGTGTCAGGGCTGCAGTCGGTACTTACATTGATTGGGTCGGGACCACCTTGCTCCTTAAAGACTTTGAATATTTCTCCGTCTTCAAAGGTCAGAGAGGCAGGGGTATCACTTAGTTGAACTCTGGATCCCTTCCATAGAAATCGTACCGAGGTAGTGTTGATCTCTAATCGCTGGCAGTAGGCAGCAAGAAGTCTGCCAAACGTAGCGGACTTCTTCATCAAGAATGTGACCTCATCGCCGGTTTCGTTCTTGACTATGATGCGAAGCCTCCCTGAGGCAGCTAGTGGTCGGACTTCTACCTGTACGGGGGTTGTTGGTCTTGGACGTAGAGACAGCTTTTCGCACATTTAGTTTCAGGCCTGATCTTCCGAAAATCACACGTACCTCAATGAACTCGCCTCCGAGTTGCTCAATAAAGACCTCAATTATATCCTCGTCCTCCATCTCTAATGATATCGGGGTGTCGGTAGGTTGAACGCGTTGACCTTCGAAAAGGAATCGAACGGACTTTATATCGATCTCCTGGCGGCTACAGAACGCGTCCATGACCTTCTCCAATGGAGTTGTTCTCTTCATCTTGAAGGTGACTTCGGAGCCATGCTGATTCTTTACTTTGATCTTGATGTGCACGGGAGCGTTTGCCTTCGATGCCTCAAGCTTATCATCTGCAGACGGTGTCTAAGATACGGTAAGTGCTCTTTCTCTTCGACATATCAACAGTGAATTCTTACCCCCTCACAAACAAGCTGCTCCAACATAGCATCTATCATGTCTCCATCATCTAGCTGCAGTGTTTCCGGTGTATCCTCTTCTTGAACGCGAGATTCGTCAAGAAGGAAGCGAACAGTGCTGCGCTTCAAACCAGCGCTGTCGCAGTAAGCATTAAATACCTTACAAAGCTTCGCCTTTGTCTTGATCTTGAACAACATCTCGGCTTCGTTTTGTTCTTTGACCTTAATGCTGATGACGGAATTGTTTGAGTCCTCAGAGTTGGCCGCGGGGGCTTCGGGCTCGCCCTGACTAGGCATGTCGTAGGATTTTGGAGGTGAGAACTGGGGTCGATGGCTGTCTACAGACTACATATTAATGTATGCCTATGTTTGCGTATTGCAAAGGTTGAGGAGGGAGAACTTACAGTGTGGGGTAGAGAGTATCGAGGTCGGGTGCGAAGGGCCTACTCGGGTGCGACAGCTTGGGTTGATTGATGGATGTGTCGAAACGGAAGAAAGGAGCTGGCTCGAGGTTTCGAAGACGAAGTAGATATTCGATTGCAGCTCAGCTCGTGATGAAAGAATAAGTTGACGGCTGGAAGGCTCCAAAGACGAGTCTGTGTCTGTTGGTTTGCGTGTTAGCGGTAGGATTTGTCGGAAGAATTGAATCAACGTGATATTCAGGTGGAAACAGGAATACGAGCGAGAAGGAAGTGGAAAGCAGAAGAGTAAAGAAAAAGAAGAAGGGATGGGAAAGGAAAGGGTAGCATCTCATCAGTACCTTTTTTCGTATCAATTGTATGGACAGGTGATCGGATCATGTATTCACTGATTCCCTTTCTAGCAGGCCACCACTTCCTTTCACTTTATAATCTTCCAAATGCGATCAGGTTCAAAAGCACCCTAATCGATAACCCGACATAATAAAACAACGATTGACGGATAGGCAGTCATTCGGAAACTATTAGAAAACGCCATGAGCGACCGGCTACAGAAAAGCTTTGCTATAAGATATAGTAGTCCTTACTCAGATCTAGCTTTACTTCCTCGGCGTTGCTATACTGGCCTCGCCAACACTTCTCTATTACTTACACAGAATTTAATCAATCCCTGTTGTATCTGGAAATTCCCGCCTCTCAAAGAGCTTGTAAATCTCGTTGTCGCTTTTCACGGCATATATTCGATGTCTGACGCTAACCTGATACATAAAGGAGCCAAGCGCGAAGATATCGTCAACCTCGGTCTGGTCTAACATTCCTTCCACCAGCGTGAGGGGTCTTAAATATCGTGTCGATGTAGACACTATAGCTGATGACCATCAAGACTGGATCCCCAAAAGTCTGCCAATGCAAGGGAGCCGTCTTCCTGGATGAGAAAGTTGTGGGCGCCAATATCGCAGTGTATGGCCCTTTTGGAATGGATATATCTTATGGCTTCGGCAGCTTGGACCGGCCACCTATGAAACACAGATCTTCTGGTTAACAAAAAAAAAGACTCAGAAGAACAAACAATTATGTTGATTACTTACTGTGTCCGTTCTCTAGGAAAATTCTTTAGGTCTAGATACTCCGCGGGCATTTCGGTGGGAAGGTATTGAAGCATTAGGCCTCTACCTCGTACTGATTCAGCCTCGCCATAGCTCCGCAGAATCCATGGGTGAGAATTGCCGAGTCGCTCGTAGATTTGCTTCTCAGGTACCTACTTGCTATGGTTTTTTCTGGTTGAAAAGAGGTCTTGAAAGCTATGTCAGTGCCACCGACCCGATAAACATCTGCGAAAGAGCCGACGTCAATGACTTTGAACTGATCTTGAAGTAGGAAACTTGAGTAAGAAACTTGAGTAGGAAACTTGAGTAGGAAACTTGAGTAGGAAACCTGAGTAGAAGTCATGAGTGGAAGAAGGAGTGTAGAGAGATGAGCAAAGAAGACATGGCACGTGCATCGGCCGAGGATCAGCCAGACACTGTACGCAATGCAAAGCAAGCTGCGGCCGCGTCAATATGTCAACCTGAACTTCAACATCAAATCTCAGCCTCAGCCTCAGCGCCATAACTCCGACAACACCTGCCCCAATTGGCCATCTACAATCCGTCGAAGCTTGAGTTTGACTATCAAATTACACAAAAACACTTTGTACTCCTCTGCCGCCATGTCGGAAGCTCCAGCTCGCAAGCCCGACAAGGACTTTACCAGCGAGGTCGACAAACAGCTTCCCGAAGCAGAGAAGCTTGCTCAAGTACGCCTCATAAGATCCCGAATTCGAAACCGAACTGACAAAGATCCGTAGAGCAATGTGACCGGTGCGATCGAAAAGCTCACTGCGTTGGAGAAGCAGACAAGACAGGTCAGCGCATCAACATTACTTTAAGTGCCTCCCTGCTAACCCTCACTAGGCATCAGATCTTGCCTCCACTTCTCGTATCCTGGTCTCAATAGTCACAATCAGCAAGGAATCGGGCGACTGGAGTCTGCTGAACGAGCAAGTCCTGCTGCTTTCTAAGAAGCATGGCCAGCTCAAACAAGCCATCACCAAGATGGTGCAGGTGGTCATGGGATTCCTGGACTCGGCGCCTGACAGCGAGACCAAGCTATCAACGATTGAGACTCTGCGAACCGTTACCGAGGGCAAGATATTTGTGGAGGTGGAGCGGGCCCGTGTTACCAAGGTTCTGTCGGATATGAAAAGAGAGCAGGGAGATTTAAAGGCGGCTGCGGATATCCTGTGCGAGCTTCAAGTTGAGACGTTTGGATCTATGGAGCGACGAGAGAAGACGGAATTCATCTTGGCACAGGTCGGGCTCTGCATAGAGAATGAAGACTGGACACAAGCTGGTATTTTGAGCCGGAAGATCAGCACGAAGTATCTATCAAGAAAGCCGAAGAAAAGCGAGGAGGAGCTGGCCAAGGAGAAGAAGGAGCGCGAAAAGAAGAGAGCCAAGGGAGAGGACATTCCAGAGCCGGTGGAAGACGATGTTACGGATTTGAAGCTGCGGTACTACGAGCAACAGATTACCCTGGCTAAGCACGACGACAAGTACCTCGATGCTTGCAAGCACTACAGACAGGTGTTAGATACCGAGGCTGTCGAGGAGGATCCCGACAAGCTTCACGCAGTAAGTCTTTTGTTCCCTTTCAGAATATCTAAGCTAAAGTTCACAGATCCTTCAAAGAATTATCTACTTTGTAATCCTGGCCCCGTATGACAACGAGCAATCCGACCTCCTCCACCGCGTCTTCCGGGACACCCGCAACACGCAAGTCCCCCTCGAAGCCCAACTTCTCAAGCACTTCACCGTCCACGAACTCATGCGCTGGCCCGAAGTCGCCAAGGTCTTCGGCCCACACCTCTGCCAAACCGACGTCTTCGATGCCACGCCAGGCCAATCTTCTGATAAGAAAGCCAATACCCGCTGGGCCGACCTCCGCAAGCGTGTCATTGAGCACAATGTCCGTGTCGTGGCTAAATACTACACCCGCATCCAGATGCCGCGTCTCACGGAACTGCTGGACCTGACGGAAGACGAGACCGAGAAGTACATTAGCGAGTTGGTGACTGCGAAGACGGTTTTTGCGAAGATTGACCGTCCGGCGCGGATTGTCAACTTTGCGAAGCCGAGAGACGCGGATGATGTTTTGAATGAGTGGAGCGCGAATATGAAGAGCCTATTGGGACATTTGGAACGCATTGATCATTTGATCACCAAAGAGGAGATGATGGCGCAGATTCAGCCGGTGAATGCTCCCAAGGCGGAAGGGCAGACTGGGATGGCGCAATAGAAGCTTTTTGCGTCCAAGGAGTATCGTGCTGTGTGTTGCTGGAGTGAATCGGGCAGGGGTGGGAAATGGATGATGAGTGATACCGCTGTAAACTAGTCTCGATTCTAGGTCTCGATACATACCTGGCATGCTTGCTTCTCTTATTTACCCGTCTATTCAGATGTGCCTGGTATGCCTGCCTGTCTATGTCTGCCGGACGCCGCGCTATGCCTGGGATATGCTTCCAACCTCCCCATAAATGGTGCTCATCCTCTCCCTCGCTCTACCTCTGATCTAAAACGGCACGTCCATATCCTCCACCCCTCCCTTTTCCCCACACGCATCCCCATCATCCTCCTGCTCGTCCCTCGCAAGCACATCCCTCAAAAACCCCACCAGCACGCCCACCCACTCCTTACCCACGGGCACAAAGTGGCCCCCAGGATGCACCACCCTCAAAGCATCAGCGCACCTCTCGACGAAGCCCTCGCTCCGCGCCTCCTCGACGACCGAGTCCAAGCTCCCAATGACATGCAAGAAGCGCGTCGCGATCTTGGGCTCGTAGAAACCCCGGTACTGCTCGGCCTGGGCGTAGAAGCCGGAGTAGCTGACGGCGAACTTGAGCGGAGGGTGGTTCAGCGCGGTCCAGGCGGCGGGATACGCGAAGGGCGGGGTGGTGGTCGAGGTGGGAAGGGGAGAGGGAGAAGGGAAGGATGAAGATCGCGCGGGTTCCAACAGGGAGGCAACGAGGCCGGCGAATGCGCCTCCCTGCGAGAATCCGATCACGCCGTCGACGCCGCCCGCAGCTAAGATGGTCTCCCGCACGACTTCGAGGCCACGCTCGAGACCGACGTATGTCTCGTCCGGCGCGTCGGCTTTCTTCCACCAGCCCCAGGCGTCGGGCCCGTCTTCGTCCTCCTCCCCCCTGCCGTCTGACTGTCCATTGGCGGTGGATATGGTGCTGGTGGTAGAAGACTGGAGGACGGAGGGGTCGGAGCCAGGGATATCGGCTGGGTGCAGGCGGATCGGACCCGTGGGGTAGATGAGCTGGATGCCGCCTGGGTAGTTTCGCAGGGAGGAGGCGGGGGATTTGTGGGGTGCTGGGGGAGGTGGGGGAAAGGCTTTCACGAGGGCTTTTTCTAGGGCGCGGGTTTTGGCGTGGAAGGAGGGGCCAGATTGAGTGTAGCCTGGAAGAGAGAAGGGGTTAGTCGGTGGTTATATACATATATATAAATATATATATGTATATATATGTAAGAGCTGGTGATGGGAGGTCGGCTGTTGAGGGAGAGAGAGGTGGGGGTAGAGATGCTGAAAATTATAGGAATTTCATATCTGCTGGGTTATACCTCTGCTTGTAATTGGAGCAGAAGAACAACTTCGCTTTTGAGAGGCAGTAAATCAACGCTACGGAGAAAACAAAAACTGACCGTGCAACATCAATATCTTCAGCTTCCTCGGGCCTGGCCGCGAGGCAGCGGCAGCGGCAGCCTCTCCATCGGTCTTTGAAGACATGGCTCGGCACTTTCTTCCCTCTACCCTGATGGTATATCCGCAACTGGAAATCGGATTCGGGAGACGCGGGGCGAAGTATCTCGAGCGTCGCACAGTGGTGGTGTGGTGAGGAACAAGTCGCGAGGCGGACGAGGCTGACATGAATATTTACGGACTTGGCGGGGGAGAAAGATAGGACCGATGCTCGAGTAATGAATGGGGCTGGGTTCCTATCCGATCGGGACGCCGGAATAGGGAGCGGGGTCCAATCTCGCTCGCTTAGTTCGAAGGGTTTAAACAAAAATAAGCAAGAATTCCTGCGCGCAGGATGGCACTGATTGCTTCTCTGTACCGGCTTTATTAGTTCGGTGTCCCTACAAACAATTGGGAGAGTTGGTTGAGAACATGAATGTAAAGTGTGAATAATCATTCGGTGTCAGTGTAAAGGCTGTCAAACGATAATATTCCAATTCTAGAGGCTTTAGAGATATGAGATAGATGCTCTGCATGCATTCGATATACTTGATCACCCCATCCCTGCTTCTCAATTCGATGGTCATGGACGTGGCTGGGTATGATTAGCGATAGCTAGGCGTACGACATAGGCGCATTAATGAAAAGAGCTAGTTTCAGTGCAAGCAAAGCCGATTGAATAATTGATTCATTGATTGATCGATTGCCTGAGCTGACAGCCGACCCGGTAAACGTCTAAGTACGCCTGCAATGCAATGCCTATGTTAAAACGCCATTCCCGTGATAAGCGACTGTTGAAACGCATGGCCTTTTATTTCATTATACAACAGCCTTCTGTCGCCCGGTGGCTTCGTCCCGTAGTATCGTTACGCCTCGTCGCTTCTTCAGCACGTTTTCGATGAAGGCCTCGCCGGCCTTGTACGAGCTTCGAACCAGAGGTCCGCTGGCACAGTAGAGAAATCCCATGTCAAGGGCGCGCTGGCGCCACATCTCGAATCTCTCAGGGGTAACGTATTCTTCGACTTTCATGTGACGTTTTGTTGGGCGCATATATTGTCCAAACGTCACAACATCGACGTTGACTTTACGAAGCTCTGATGAGGTGTCAGCGATGAAGTAAGTAAACGAGGAGGATGGATTCGTTACCTTTTAATGTCTCCATCAGTTGGTCGTCCGTCTCGCCCAGACCCAGCATGATGCTTGTCTTCGTGATCAAAGTAGGCACTGTGACCTTCGCCTTCTCCAGGACTAACAGACTCTGCCTGAATTTCGCCCTTCTATCACGAACGAAAGGTGTTAGTTCCTCTACAGTCTCCATGTTATGCGCGTATACGTCCAGCCCACTCTTCGCCACCATGGCGACCATGTCCAGATTCCCCTCAAAGTCGCCCGTCAGAGCCTCAACCAGAGTTTCGGGTCTCTTCTGTTTGATCTTGATAATCGTCTCTGCCCAGTGCCGTGCACCTCCATCCGCAAGATCGTCACGATCCACAGACGTCAACACCACATATCCCAGACCCCACCTGGCCAACGCCTCCGCAGTGTGCTCCGGCTCGTGGGGATCCAACGGCGGCGGCGCCTTCGAAGTCTTGATACTGCAGAACCGACATCCTCGCGTGCACGTGTCTCCCATGAGCATAATCGTAGCCGTCGCGGCGCTCTTGTCACCTCCGCCCCAGCAATCTGAAATATTGGGACACCTCGCCTCCTCACAGACAGTGTGAAGTCCCAGCCCGCGCAGATCCTTTTTGATCTTCTTATAATTCGAATTGTCTGGTATAGGCGTCTTCAGCCACTCCGGGAGTCGGGTAATCTGCCTCCTCCTCCCAGGAGGTCCAACCATTGCTGTCCGCAGCTCAAGCGCATCTTCGTTGGACAAGGCCTCCTCCTCTGCGCCCATAAACTCCGCAAAAGACGGAACGCTGTTCAATTTGTCTTTGAAATAGGTAGGTCGTCGTTTCGTAGGCGGTTCTAAGGATGATGCTGAGGCTTCGGTGGCGAAGGATCTCGAAGCGATGGAGGCCGGCAATAGGGCGCGGGATGCTTGACGCAGCGGAGGGGCATTCAGGCACCGGAATCTTGTCACCGTCGCTGCCATCGTGTATATGTGACTTCGCTGTCGTTGCGTTGAGATGGAGTTGTCGGCGCGTTGCAAGTTTTGCGCTTGCTTGGAAATCCGAGGAGCGGATTCGACTCGGGCCTTATCACGGGACCACCTATATTCCTTGACTCAATATCAGGCCCCTCTGGCTCGTCAATATTAGGTATTTTTAAGATTTCGCTGAGAGCTAATTAACTAAACATATCTACCATAGACCCATTTATACTCACTTATACCTACATGGACCCACGTAGACCTTTGAAAAGCCAATCAGAACTCTCGGCAATCAATTCAGAGAACCGGCTTCGAAAGCTGGAGGGCTGAAGTAGTGGCAAAATTATAGCGTCTAGGTTAGGTCTGAAAGATATTTATTCTACTTTACTGCGCTTATACTGATTTTTGTTCGAGTGTTTTGGCTTGAACATATTTTGTATTATGGGAAAATGAAGTGAATAGACGAAATCCCATACAACGCCTTCAGCACTTTTCAATAGTGTATGCTTTACGGGCACTGTGGCGCTACAGCTCCGTCGATATCCGCTTTGACAGAGAGTACGTATAGGTACCGTAGTGAACTTTGGAAAACACAATGTCTGTACATGGGAAAGAAAGAGTCCATCGCAATAGGAAGGGTCCATAAGGTATGGTCCACGCGACTCTCAGCTGACCTGCCGAATGCTTGCACGAATTTACACCCGGCATCCCCATTCGCGAGTCGTTCTGCAGGATCCAGACATCCCATAGTGCTTATTTGACTGGGAACTTACCGGATAAGGAGCCGTGTAAGTGGGATGCCTATGGTCGGACGTCAGGATTCAGCTTTGAGCCCTGGCTGTAGCGTAGCAGAGCCCCTCGGCATATTAGCTCTCGGCTGCTCACCCAACGCTCTTGTGTAACCAGAGTTCATCATGGCCAGACTACAGTAGAGAGAGAGACAGGAGTCAAAATTGTGGCTTGGTATCTCGACGATGCATGCCATCTCGACACGATGAAAAGTTTCAGCGGGTGTCTTCATCTTCCTAGCGGAGGGAGAGACTCAGGAATCACGAGCCATGGCCTCGATGAACCTCTCCCATCCATCCGAGAACTTTTCGTACCAGCCTTTCCTGCTCTCGGTTACAAACACGTACTTGGCCCTCCTCTTCAGCTCCGGGACTAAAACATCGACGTCCGATCTGGGCACCGATAAGACCATGTAGCTGCATCTGTCCCTGTCGTAGCGAAGTAGATTGGTGATGCGTTTTTGCACCTCCACATCCTTGAACTCTTTGTACTCGGTCTCGAAGATGGTGGTGATATCCGGGCCCGGGCATGCGAATTCGGGATCGGGAACGGTGCCCGGGTTGTGAATAGTCTGTTCGGATATAAGCACGAGAATTCTGACTCGCAAGGCTTCAAGCAAAATGATAAAAGATGAGAGGACTTACCATTCGAGTTCCCATGAGTCCAACGGCATTCTTGACCCTCGCATCCGCAGCATCCATAAAGGTCTTCCTCTTCGGCTTGTAATGGTTCGGGCTCTCGTCGAAAAAGATACCCCTCATCGCCAACTCGCCACTCCCATGCTGGCCCCAGCCCGCATACTTGTCGATGTCCTTGCACACCTTCTCGATGTCGCGTTTGCACCAGTTCACGGAGATATAGCCGACGAGACAAACATTGGGATAGCGGTTCAGTCTCGTGATCTCTCGGCTGTAATCTTCGTCCGGGAGAGCAGATTTTCCGGGCCCAGAGTTCGGGTTGATGATGATTGTGAATTGGAGTGTGGGGTGGGTGTTAATCCTGTGGCGAATATCAGTAGGCTCGTTCTTCCAGAGGGTATAGGAGCGCTCACGCTGTATAGAGGCGATCCCAGGCATTTGGGAGAGGGTAGATGTATAGAGGGAGCAGGACCGAACAGCTGAAGCTCACAGTTGCAGCAGGGCTTGGCTTCGTAGCCAAGTTGATAAACGGGGCCGCCATAACCTAAATGTGTACCTAGCTAAAACTATAGCTATACCTAACCAAAACCCAAATGTGATATGCTGTTTGGGATGCGTGGTTGCGTCTGGCGAATATAGCGGTGTCCGTCAAGAAACACGTCGTATGATGAGTTGGTTCCCAAATTCCCGGCGCATATAATGTTCAGCTTAATTGGCTTGCCGATGCAGGTATGCACCCCTACGCTCCTGTGGTAGCGATAATTAACTGAATCTTATGAGCGATGAAGAAATTATTGGTTTATAACAAGAGAAACGGTAGCAAGCAAGTTGCGGAGACCCTGGAAGTTGCAAATCCGGACACATTTGTGAAATGGACACGTGATAAAACTACTCGCCACCCGAGGCGCCTTGGATCTTGAAGATAAACCGGAATGTCTCCTTTATACAAGTATTTTTCGGATATAAAGCGCGATGACATACTGCGTTTGAAATCGAAGTGGATCCTTGTCTCCAGGATTTCGGGCTCCTCGCTCTGTCGCCTCTTTCGAAAGTCCTCCTCATAGCTTCAATCCCCAAGCTAGCTGCAAAAGCGACCGTCATACTTCAGCTGATAGACCCGAAACGCTCCCGCACGAATCGAGACGTTTCTCGTTGACCTGGATTGGTATGCAGCGGCAGCTCTATTCGTCTTACTCTTTCCATCCACGGCTCGGCAGCTTCCGCGCTCATTCTGGCCTGTAACATTGCCTTAAATTCCGAGCATATATTCGTACCCATCCGATTCCAGTGACACGTGTCAGCAGCCTAGGATTTCTTTCCTTTAGCGAAGAGCACACCCGGGCAGCTCTCTTGCTGCTAGCCATAAGTTGATGTGTCAAATATTTCTGACCATTGGTATCGAGCACAAGGAGGAATTTACGATTGTAACTTTTGATAGCAGTCTGGATCCTCACAAATTTTGTTCTGTTTATGGCCGCATAATCAATTCCACTCCTTATTTCCAGTGGTAACTTGCAGAAGTTAAGCCAAGGGAGAGCCTAAGTAAGGTGCTGACTTAAGTAAATAAAGGAGACATCACGTCTTCCTTTGCCTATTTTCATATCGCTCCACCTCTCGGTCCAGGGTTCCAAGGCTATGATTCAGCAATAGCTCACTTGAGTAAGAGTAGGGAACTCCTGCCGCCTGTATTTTCAAAAGGAGGCTACTGGCTGTCTAGAAAAAAGTGAATACTCATTGGGGGAAGGACTCGGACGGGATGTATATGGTAGGTTCTGGCCGAGCCACCCTCACAGTCCTTAACTCACAGAACTAAATTTATCTGGTTATCAGTGAGTGATGACTGGTATCAGCCGTTGTGGTACTCAAGCTTTCGTTTCCCAATGACCATGTCAGTATTGACCTCGCTTCGAGAAAGGGGCTCATTTGAAAGTGAGGGTCCCTTGGTAATACAAGCAATGCGTCGATCTTGTGGAGTCAACCGCAGTCCCACCTATCATTACAAGTAATTAGGTTGATCTTTTTAAATTGAACATGGAAGATTTCAATACTATAAATAATCAGCCAAGCGTAAAGTCAAAGCACGATTATTGGGAGGCTACGATTCTTTACTTATACGAGTTGCCTCTTACGAACCTTCAGCTCTCTTTTGCGGAAAAGCGTCTAAAGAGCCGAAATTGGATTATCGATATGCGACGTCTTTTCGAAGAGATCTACCTTTGATCGTCGGCTCGCTTAGGTGGGCCTCCTTACATCCTTTCAAGATTACCGGCGGTTCCGAACCTCCCTCTTCTTTCTAGAACACCACGCTGATTACGATCTATACCTAACGGGCATACCGATTGACAAGACTAAAAAGATTTGCGATAGAAAATGAACGAGTATAAAAGATAAGATAAGAAGGGCTTAGTTCGACTAATTGAAGACATAATTTTGCGCTTTCGAAAAAGCCTTTTACAAATACATCAGCTTTATACAAAGGCTACGAACGCGAGCCTTTTTAGCTCTACGACAAAAGAGAACGATGCTTGTATTTATAAGGATCGAGACCGCTCTTAAGGCCATACGTATTAGACAATTGACGAGAGAAAACTCGGCGCATATTACTATGAGTTGCTTTTAAGGGTTTTATAAAGTGTATGCTATTTAAAAGAAAGCTTTCCCTTAACGTGGTTTTACTCTCGATTAGATAGTAATTTGTATATAATTCTTTTACTCAGCACGTCGCCGTACTTTAGAAGAGGTTCTAAGGTCCAAGCATTGCGTCTTGGATATCCGCCCAACGTTAATAAATGCAACAACAACAAAGCACGATTATTTAGAGCCGACGGAGAAACATCGAATCTTATTTTCAAAAAAGAGATATATATTTCCTTTTTTTCTTCCACTTGCTCTAAATTCAACTCATCAGCTTTCTTTTCTTTGCAAGCTTATTCCCCTTTCATCAGCTCGCGCATCATTAAAAAAAAGAAGACTCGCACAAATCAGCACAATGCTACAATCGAAATCTCTCTTCGCGATTCTGCTCGCTTTAAGCTTTTTCTTTATTAAAACTCACGGACTTTGGTGGAGTAGAAATGCTATCGGCTATGCAAGAGTTTGCCCAGTAATTTCCACTCACTTGATTTATATAGCATAAGTCTTAGACTAATTACGCGAACTATAGGCAGGTGCTGATCGCATCAATTAAAAAAAAAAACAAGCTATATGTGAAGGAACCTTGGACCGATGATCAATTTGGACAAGGCTTCTATATCAACGAGTTTGACTTATACAAATCGTTTACTCATTTATTCAGCGGAGCTACCCATTCAAATAAACAGGACACGACCCTGCTTCTCGCTATATAGGCGAGAGAAAAGAAGAAAGAGAAGAAGGGGGTTGGTATTGTGCTATGAAAGCAAGAGAATGGAAGATGAAATCTATCGGCAAAGTCTTTATCCCGCAACACGTATGGGGCGCGGAACACGCGCATGACAATGTGGAAGATTTTTGTTCAGTTTTTGATAGCCAAAAAGCCTGAAACGCAACCGCGGCGCTTCTCGTGGATGGACGACAGCGACTCCCTCCTGCAAATGCTCATCCCAACGAGTGTAGTCGAGCAAGATCGTCTGGATCTGTGGGCTCCATGCCTGGAATCGCAAGCAGAGCGAATGGAATTTTCGAAGGTGTTCATTGATTGGAATAAAAAGTAGAAAATCCAAGCATATCATACTGTTCTGTAATGAATGGTAGGGAGTAAGGGGATGAAACGATCAACAGGCTGAGGGTGCACGGAGCCTCACGATAGACCTGGACATTTTCCTTTCGTATGTATCTCTGTTGGTACGTGGACAGCTGCACCGAGGTCTCGTTTTGGTATAACTGATGTTACCAACACATTCCGTATATACAGCCCGTGTATACAGTCTGTATATACAGTCCGTATATACAGTCCGTATATACACTCCGTACGTACTGTATGAAGAGCGCCTCTTGGCAGTGCCTTGCTTGGCCGTCTGATCGCGAGCCAAGATGGATGCGGGGTCTGGTCTGGTCTTGTTCATGGCTTCAGGATCAACCTCAATCTCAACCTCATCCTCAACCTCAACCTCGACGCCCAGCCCCATTTATATACACACACATACACACACTTCCGACTGTACCCCCTAGTCGTGTAGCTGACCCCTTTGGTTATGCTGAGCATACTATGCTGAGCAGAGCGAACCATACCTGGCACCGAATCCGGATGTTGGAAAGAAGATACTTTCGACTTGCGCTCTATCTCCCGGGCCCAACCTTGTGCACAACCCTCTCGCCATGACTTTCATTTGCGCCTATTGCAAGCGCTCTTTCAGTAGGAGTGATGTTCGCCGGATACACTACCAGAGGTGTAGCGCCCGCATCTTAGCTAGAGCCCCAATACCCTCAGCAATGCGGCAGGGGAGGAAAGCCAAGGCGTGTGATTCTTGTGCCAGGAGGAAGAGATCATGTGATGAGAAACAGCCATGCTCTGCATGCGACAGTAGAAGAGCGGCCTGCACTTATACACGATCCAAAGCTGTGGCCGCGGAGTCTCGAGACGGAAAAGCGGAGGACGTGGAGTGCCGTCGTCAACAAGGCGTCTTGGCTCCGGATGAGGTCGCTTCGACGCCTTCGACCCTACCGGGCTTACAAGACGCTCTTCCTGGCCCAAGTGGTCAAAATACCACGACCCTCAATGACTTTCACGAAGGAATCACGTACGACGCAATGCAAATGTTACCCATGGATCCGAATTGTCTCGATCTACAACAAAATAGCTGGTTGGTGACGGGAATGTCGCATGACAGCTCTTCATCGAAGGCCGAAAATCATCCTGAAGCTTGGTCGCTTGCCCGACCCAAGCCCAAGAACGCGCTGCCATTCCTACGAAACTTCGCCTCATCAAAGGGCAAATCAACCTTGTACGCATTTACCTACATCAGCTCGGACAACAACGAATGTATCTCGGAATCCACCGAGCTGCAAAATTTATGTGATGCGTACATTCCTGGTGATCCTGCATTACTCGGAGCTCTCTTTGGTAGTCGCCCCGAAGCTCTTGAACATATTTCCTGGCCGGTTGGTCCATTGGATCTTGGATATATGGACCCAACCAGCTACTCATCCTTCACTTCTATCATTCCCAACCCCAGCAACTTTACCGATGGCTTTGACATCGCAGACTGGATCACGGACCCAATGTTCCCGAGGTCTCGGGAGATCCTCATGAGATTTCAACAGTTGCGCCTACCTGAGATGGCGCCCACGACCCCAAGAGTCACCGTTACAAAGATGTCCCCGGAAGACCGCGAGTGTTTGCGGTTCTTCAGCCCTCCCAACATCCACCGCCTCCTGGCCTCTTTCTGGAAGAACTGGTCTCATCACTGCATGATCATCCACCGTCCGACGTTTGATCCATTGACCACATCCGTCTCGCTGCTCCTGATCATGGTCCTGCTGGGCGCTGCGGTATCGCCAGAAATTACTGACGGGGAGCTCGCGGAGCGCTACTTTGGGGCTGGGGAACAGATCGTCTTTCAGGAGCTGCTGAAGCATCAGAATCGTTGTATGGCAGGAATATCTCTGAATAAGGTCGACAAGCCAACTGCACTTCAAGCTGCATTATTAGCATGTTGTCTACAACACTGGGGGGGTGACAGTGAAGCGAGAACCCGAGTGCGACGTTCCAACTTCTACATGCTCGTCGATGTCGGTTCGCCGGCTCCTTATGACACCAGTTGAATACAGCTAACGAAGGCACAGTCTGTTCGAAGTTTTGGCTTTCCCAAATTGAGCCAAGAGATCTATAACGAGCGTAATCTGCTCAGTGACTTTAATTGGAATCGATATGTCGCCACAGAAGAACTGAATAGGTGAGCGACAAGCCCACACACACACATATATATATAGCTGTTTGAGGCTCCGTACTAAACCTGGCTAGGACTTGCATGTACATCTTTCTCGTCGACAGCTCGTTCGTCATTTTCAACAACTCGACTACGAAAACCCCCCTCCAAACCTTTCCTTGCCGCCTCGTCTCTCCGCCAGCGTGCTTCGAGGCCGAGACTGCAGAAGATTGCTATCGACATCTAGAGAGTTGCCGTACTTCCAACTACGCGCATACCACCTTGATAGAGGCCGTTGAGACCTTCCGGATGAACAGCATGACCGACAAAGCCTACTCGATGTTTATGGGCCTCGACAGTCTCAATCTGTTCGCGATCCTCAGCGGTGTGTTTGCTTTTAGCTTTTCCCCACCCCATCCCCCAAAAAACCTCATGTCCAAAGGTATCATCAAGGAGTTCACATGCACTGACATACGACCTTTTGCGTTGGCGCTGCGTCTAGGGATCATCGTGTGGATGTTCCAACAACACTGTTCCCTCTTCCAGGTGCCGGCGTACGAGACGCACATCCGCGACGTGCTACAAAAGTGGTCACAGTTCTGGTCCCTGCGATCCGACCGGCCCGCACGCAAATGCAACAGCAACAGCAACAACGACAATGATGGCGCCAGACCGAAAGGCTTCTTCGAACACGCCGACGAGTACCGACGGTTCGCCCTGGGCCTGCTCCAGCTCCGACGCGACGAGTATCGCCAGCTGCGGCTTGAGTCCGCCCAGGCGACGATTGTGCCGCTGCGGGAGCTGGACGAGACGAGCATGGAGCAGGTGGCCAACCTGTTGGATCTGATGGAGAACCTGGAAATCTGAGTAAGGTGGGCTCTCGGATGCTCGGACATTTGCCTTGCCCGGAAACCCCGAGGTCCTTTCTCCGGTTCCTGTCAGTGTCACCCGGCCCTCAGATCAGAGCATACGGAGGAGGTAACAGCGGTTAAGTATTATACTATCATGTCCAAAGTATAGATGGGTGCAATAGGGGGGGGGTGTCGGTCCAGCTCAACACTTAACCTGATGAGTAAGGCAGGAAGGATTTCACCACGCCTACGAAAGAGCAAAAGCATGTTTAGCGATGCTGCTCAATCAAGTACCAAAGTGTGTGTGTCCCATACGTCAGGTCCTGCTGACATGGCATAAATAATACTTAGCCGCTGTGTACGTCCGCACAGATAGCAGCAAAACATTAACCTTTCTCGGCACAACTGAAACGGGGGGGCAATGCCGGGCCGGGAATTCGGGAAAGTAGTGGGTGGCGGCCAAGATTTCTAGAGGCGGGAAATATTAACCGTGCGCCGATACTGTAAAGCAAGCTGTCGGGCTGCTCTTAGTCATCCGTTCCATCGCGTGCGTTACACCGACTTTTACACCGACTTTCAAATCGAATTGGCTCGGAATATCAAAATCGCGAGCAACGCTTACCACATCAAATGTTTACCACTTCATCATCCACGCCAAAATATGTTTCATAGCTACTACGTACGTAGTATAAACGCATGCAATTTAGATTTACTTTGGCTCCGAACCCAATCCGAATTAATAATAGTAGTAGTTTTCGCTTAAAACCTTGCTCTTGCATACTGTACTACTACGTACGTACGTACCTAGTAGTAGTAGTAGTACGTAGTACGTAGCACGTAGTATATATCCCGCTACTACGATCTAGTCTAGCCTACCGTAGATACGCTCGGCGATTAATCTTCTTTCCACTTATAATTTTTTTTCTTTTTTTTTGGTTTAACTTAGGTAGTACAGTAGTACGATCTCTTGATATTCCTTAACGGCAACGATGCAACGATGCATGTACTACGTACGTACTACGTAGAGCCAAAATTCGCGGGCAGCATGCTACCGGTCCCGGAGCAGCGGTCGCGCGCGAGAGGATGAGGATGGTCGAACTTCGGAGAGAGAGGAGCAGTACCGGTTACCTAGGTAGCTTCGGCGATGGTAGTGATAAAATAAAATAACAGGGCAGATCTTTCTTTCGCTTGCCTTACCTTGCCTTGCTTTGCCTTGTCTTGCCTTGCTTTGCCTTGCACTGCACTCTCACGGGAAATTCGGTTTGCAAAAAAAAAAAGAAGTCGTTTCTCTTTGTAGCGTACCGCTCCGCTCCGCTGTAATACGTAGTATCTACGTAAATCGTCTCTTCTTCTCGCTTGGTTATATGATTAGATAATCGCTCGGAAGGTTAAAGCATTGATCGAGATCGCGTCTGCATAGGTAGGTAGTACTACTAGTAGTAGTAGTAGTGCATATTTTACTAAACCGACGGAAAAAAAGAGTCTCTCGGCGGTAAAGGTGAAATAAGCTGGCTGGCTGGCTGGCTGGCTGGCTGGTTGGCCGTACGAGTTGCTTGCAGATACCGTAGTAGTAGGTAAATAGATTGAGTATACGAAGAAGAAGAAGTGATATCAGCAAAGCGGGGGGGGGGGGTGGGTTTTCCGCTCTTGGTTTCCATGGCTTTTTGCTATGAGACGGTAGCATCTTTTGATGCGTTTTCGATGTCGGTTTTGTTATTGGAGATGTCGTTATTGGAGATGTCGGTGCTGAGGCTTGCTTTGCTTTAGCTAGTGAGTTGAGGCTTTGTAATGCACAGCTTGGTTGCAACTTGCGCGCCTTCTTTTAGGGGAGGGAGGAGATTGTGTTTAAAGCTATTTAAAGCTATTACTTACTGTAAGAGCGAAAGAAGAAAGAAAGAAGAAAGAAAACAGATTGCGATTAGGAGGCAGGATATCGATCCACGGGTAGGAGTGATGATGGTGGTGATGTGAAAGCAGAGCGCTTACGGCGTGGTGTAAGGAAATTGAATGTGTGAAAGCTGTATGTGCAAATTGGCAATTGCGGCGGTGCTACGTAGTATCAAGAGCAGCTTGCTTCACTTTCCCTTGACAGATCTCAGTAGCGAAGGCAGGAGTTGACCCAGTTTTGAAAGTCGGTGTGTTTTGAAAGTCGGTATAATGCACGCAGTGGAATGGGTGATGGAGAGCAGCCGACCGCTTGCCTTATTAGCGCACGGCTATTACATACAGAGTACTGGACTGTATTGTACAGTACTGTCATCCGGACCACGATACCTAGTGGAGTAAGGTACATACCGGTACGCTGGCATCGATCACGGAGTATACCTACTACGTATAGTAAGAGCCCCGCCTGGCCTGAGACCTCACGCCCACAGTCGCGATGATCGATCGACCGGCAGACTTACGGTCCCGACAAGATGAAACTGGTTCGATTCTGTCAGTCTTCCACACCGTGCGCGTGCAGTAGCAGAAGTCTAAAATGAGGAACTTGCTAGTAGTAAAGTAGAAGGTACGTAGTAGCTACTACTAGTTGCAATCCTATCTTATCCTATCCTATCCTGTCCTATCCTATGCTATCCTATCCTATCCAATCCGATGCAATCTAATCTAATCCGCTGGACGGGTTTCGCGGCTGACGGGCATTGGCGACTCACTAGCTGGTTGCTCAATCCAACAAACGGTGTTGAAGTTGATCTCGTGATCTTCGGGGTTTGCTTTTTCTTCTTTTTCCTTTTCTTGTGATCGTACGAGCGAGGTGTTGTCTTGAGTTATCTGATTGTTGTATAGGACGGATGAGCATCTGCGTAGTACGTAGTACGTTGTACCTAGCGATACGAGCTACCTACCTAGTTCGTCTACCCCGCTGACTACCAGGTACGGATAAAGCGCTAAGTAATAGATAGCATTATACTTTGCGGATAAACTTCAACACAGCTCCTTATGTCAAATCTAAAGTACAACTAGATTAAGCACAGCAGATAAGCCAGCTGTGAGGTGCTTTCACTCCGATCCAATCCAAGCCAATCCAATCCAGCCTTGTCGTGGCGTATGCTGCGGCTGAGTCATGGTCTTAGTGCTTAATAAGACGATTGCCTATCAAGTGGATTATGGCGAAATTGGTGATTTGCAAGTGGAGAATTATGCAAGCAATTGCCGTCTTCGATTGATTAATTCTTTTATGAATCCATGAGTAATTGTTTTATTAATCAAAATTGTAGTTGTCGTAGAACATGTCCAGCTATCAGGTAACGATACGAGCCGTTTACGTAGTAGCCCGACTAGCCCGACTAGCCCGACTAGCTCGACTAGCTCGACTAGCCCGACTACCCCGCCTGCGACGGATAAAGCGCTAATATTACGCTTTACGGATAAAGCTCAAGCTACTAGGACATTAAATCGTAGTGTGAATTAAGCAAAAAAGAATACCTACCTAGGCCCAGGGCGAAGTAGTACTAGTCGAAGTACTAGTAGTTTACGTTTAATCCTACAGTACTGTATCTTATCCTTCCCAATCCCATCCAATCCCATCCCATCCAATCCAGTACTGTCATCACTCTGCATGCCGAGTCCGTAGCAGAAAACCATATCCCCTGACTGTATTTGCCCCTCCCCCTTCCGCCCACACTTCCCTGTCCTTTCCACCAGAAGCCCAACCGCGCCCCAGAAGGCAGGAAGGGATGCCCCAACTCGACGAGGCGACAGAGGAGGAGCCTTTGGGCGTCCTGCGAACTCCGGCCCCCCTAGCGGCGGGAAACTCCCACATGGAGGGTCGCCGGTGGGTAAACGGTCCAGTACAGTACTGTACAGGACGCTGGGAGTTCCTGCACCCCGCACCAGCAGGGATGTTCGTCATCGGGAAAGGGGTCCAAAGGCTATCTCTCCCCACTCTCCTTAGTCAGGCCCACGCGCACAGTTCGTAGGTGGAGGCGAATGGCATCGTGGGCAGTGTTAAGCTGATTAGCAACCGCTTGTCATTGGCGGGTCCATTCCTCGGCCACTCTGATTTATGCTGTTGTGTGGATCCGGCAAGGACTAGTACTATAATACTTCTATAGCACTACTACTATAGTAGTACTACGACTCACTACGACTTACTACGACTACGACTACGACTACGTACAACGAACAACCTTCTACTACTCGTCCCGAACTATATTCTACCGCGTAGAAGTACTGTAGAACAGAAGAGTGGGGAACGTCCCGGGATGGATGTGGGGTAGGATGAGACGGAATGACAGGTACAGTACCTGGCCCGAAGTACGTAGTAAGTCAATCGTACGGCCTTAGCGAGTCAAGCTCTCGACGGCAGCCCATACTTAAAGCTAGCTCTCCGTTTCGAATCTCGTTTCGATGTCGACATCTCTGTCTCTGTGTCTCTTTCCATATTCCTCATTCTCCATACCAGAATAACGAGTCGGCAGGCACTACGAAAAGAACCACAGCAAAAACAACCACCACAACCACCACAACCACAGCAAAGACGAAAACGACAACAACAAGAACACAAAAACGGCCACAATGACGATCAACTCCTCCTCAACGGCTTCCGAGCACATTCCCCCGCCTGACGTGCCACTATCAAAACCGGCCGCTACCGAAGATAGCTCCCCGCCTCCCAAGGTCCCGGCCGCCCAGGCATACCTCTATGGCCTGCAGCCTTCCTGGCCCGTAGCCAAAGACCTCGCCGGGTCGGACTTGCCATGCCGAGTCGAAGGCGAGCTCTCCGATCTCGTCGTCTACGGCTCCGTTCCCAAAGAGATTGACGGGACCTTCTACAGAGTCATGTGCGATCCCTTCGTGCCACCCGTCGAGGGCAATGTGCCCCTCGATGGGGACGGTACCATCTCCGCGTTCAGGTTTCACAACGGCACGGTCGATATGAAGCTGCGGTACATCGAGACGGAGCGATACAAGCTCGAGCGGAACGCCAAAAAGGCTCTCTTTGGCCTCTACCGGAACCCCTTCACCCACCATCCATGTGTGCGTGCCGCGGTGGACTCGACGGCCAACACCAACCTTGTTTTTGTAAGTGATAGCCGACAGCCTGCCTCACCTCATCCACCTCCGCCCGAGAAAGCCGTGTGCTGATTGAAGATGGCTCTCTCTCGCTAGTGGGCCAATAAATTGCTAGGGCTGAAGGAGGGCGGTCTCCCGTACGCGTGCGACCCGCACACGCTTGATACGCTCTCCTACGATCCTTTCGGAGACCAGGTCAAGAGCAAGACGTTCACGGCCCATCCCAAAATCGACCCCTTCAACGAGGAGCTCGTCGTCTTCGGCTACGAAGCGAAGGGGCTCGCGACGACCGACATCGTCAGCTACACGCTCGACAAGAACGGGGTCAAGACCGAAGAGCTCTGGCTCCACTCGCCGTGGGTCGCGGCCATCCACGACTGCGTCATCACGGAGAACTGGCTGGTGCTGGTGCTCTGGCCCTTCGAGACCAACATGGAGCGCCTGAAGGCCAAGAAGCAGCACTGGGCGTGGAACTACAACCTCCCGGTCACCTTCATCGTGATCCCGCGGCGCAAGAGCACGCCGCTCCCACCGGGGTGGCAGCCGGGCGAGACGCGCTATTACCAGTGGAAGAACTGCATGGCGATCCACACGGGCTGCGCGTGGGAGGACGCGGCCACGGGCAAGATCTACCTCGAGACGTCGCGGGTGCACGACAACGCGTTCCCCTTCTTCCCGCCGGACGACGGGCGCATGCCGTCGCCGGACTCCAAGGCCGACTACGTGCGCTGGGAGCTGGACCCGAGCGCGGCCACGGGCAGCTCGATCCCGGACCCGCTCGTCATCCTCGACTTCCCGTCCGAGTTCCCGCGCATGGACGAGCGCTTCATGACGAAGAAGAGCAACATCTTCTTCATCGACGCCTTCCTGCCGGACCGCTCCGACAGCGGCAAGAACATCTACCAGGGCCTCAACTCCCTGGCCATGCACGACCACCGCACCGGCAGCACGCGCTTCTTCTACGCCGGCGACAGCTCCAACGTGCAGGAGCCCGTCTTCGTGCCGCGCTCCGAGACGGCCGAGGAGGGCGACGGCTGGGTCATCGCCATGGTGCAGCGGCCGCTCGAGAGGTGCTGCGACCTGGTCGTCATCGACACGCGCGAGTTTGAGAAGCCCGTGGCCATCGTGCGCTGCCCGGTGCCGCTCAAGGTCCAGATCCACGGGAACTGGGTCGACGGCAAGGACCTGGCCAAGGTCGAGGGCGCCGAGAACTTTGTGCGCCAGTTTGAGGCGGTGAAGATTAGCGGGCGAGGATCGCTGGAGCCGCTATGAGGGCACGGAGAGGACGGATAGGTATACGCATCGATTGGGTAGATCACATGACGTAGCTGTGTGCGGCGTTTATAGTTATAGATGAAATTGCTCTTTTATTTTTGACATATATCGTGCATATATCGTGATCCATCCGTCCGTCCAGCCAGCAGCTCAGTAGCAGCAATGCGAGCAGCCAGGTCACGCGTTCCCCGTTGGCACCTACGTACCGGTACGTCGGCTCGCTCAGGTGGGGCCTCCTTGCACCCTGATTATACCGGTACTAAGACATGTCAATACCCATCTCAAGTTCTCCAATCTCCACTCTCGTCTCGTATACCAAGTCTCAAACACCAACCACCCTTTCCTCCCTCCCCATCGATCACCACTACCACCAGGTAGGTAAGTAGGTAAGTAGGTAAGTAAGTAGGTACCGACATGGCCTCCCGTAGCGGTAATTAATAGCGCTGGCGCACTAAATGTCACGAAGGCGATTCCACTGATTTGTTTGATTTGATTGGATGGATGAAGCTTAGGTAGAGACCGGGCGGTACGGTATGGTATGGTATGGTATGGGTTGTGGGGGAAGGGATGGTGTGGTGTGGTGTGGTGTGGTATGGTATATGCGTACCGTGGGAAGCTCTTCGAGATGGGGGGGGTGGTACTGGTACTGGTGGGTATATGGGTGGGTGGGTATATGGGTGGATGGGTTGGTGGGTAGGTAGGTAGGTGGGAGGCGGGGTTAAAGGGCGCTGATACTACGTAGGTAAACTGTCTGTCTGTCTGTCTGTCTGTCTGTCTGTAGCTTGGGTGGAGACGGAGGCATGGCTGGGTACGGAGGTGGGTATGGTATAGTAGTTCTGCATATTAGGTAGGTACTTAATTGGTTACTGGAGCAGAGGGACGGGAGTTATTTCATCGATTATTTGATCGATCG